CCTGGCCTCAGATCGGCCCAGCTCAGACAGTTGTGGCTATTTGGGAAGTGAACCAGCAGATGGAAGACCTTTCTCTCTGTCTCTCCATCTCTCTCTCTGTAACTCTACCTTTCAAATAAATAAATAAATCTTAAAAATGCAAATTGTTGAACTATACCATAAACAGCTGGGTAAGTCAAATACAAAAAATTCTCACATACTTGCACACATTATCATCCAGGATTTTAGTTCTAGAAATTTATCCTGAAGAAATCACAACAGAAAAACCTGATACAGAATGTGCATCAGTGTGCCACTAACATGCATGGGCACTTGGTATAGAAGTTACGGCACTACTTGGGTGGCCTGCATCCCATATCAGAGTGCTTGATTTGAGTGCTGGTTCTGCTTCCAATTTCTGTTTCTTACTAATGCACTCCCCGGGAAGCAAAAGATATTGACTCAAATAGTTGAGTTCGAACCACCAAAGAGGGAGACAGAGATTGAGCTGCAAGCTCCTGGCTGCAACCGGGCCCAGCTCTAGAGGTTGCAGATATTTGGGGAATGGATCAGCTGGGAGAAGATCTCTCTTTCTTTCTCTCCCTACCTCCCAAATAAATAAATTTAAAATGTTTAGTTTCACACTTCACTAAACTTGGAGTACAGTGGAAACATGCTTGAAACTGAAACACATTCTTTGACATAGAAGAGACACTTTCATGAATGTAGCATTAGAAAATCTTCAGACTCATGCAATTATGGACAAACATGGATCATTTATGCATTTGTATGAAATACTTTAAAATTATATATAATAGTTTTCTCACTAATTACTCTGCTTATAAAATGGTACAACTAGAAACCTGAATACATTAAACTTCTAAAAATGAAAAGTAAAAGATGGATCCAAGGGTATAAGTCACACTAACTTAAGTTGCTCTCGGACATGAAAAGAACAATGGAAGGACTATGTTCCCAGAGATCTGCCTGGCAGAAAATTTCCATGAAGAAGAAGGAGGAGGAGGAGGAGAAGAAGAAGGAGAGTCTGTGGGAAAAAAAGGAGAGAAGAGAGGTATACTGCTGTAGCCAGCCATGTGGCACAGCCAGTTGCCAGCAGTGAGCTGCAATTTTACCACATCAAGGCAGGCAAACATCACCACGTGCCCCACCACTCAGTTTTAGCTGGGAGGAAATTCCACAATCACCCACTGACTTTTGCTTCGGCCTGGAAAGCTACTGGGGCTGAGCAACAGCCAAGATTGGAGCAGGGAAGCCATGCATTGCTTTCCTTTCCTCCCCGCCTCCACTCCTATAGAGCACAATACTCAGCAGGGAAAAGTCCCACAACCTGCTTCTATTCTGCTCCCACCAGCTTTGTAGTGAGACTCAGGGAAATGTGTGGGGCAAAGGACAGACACCGTGAATGCTTCAACAGTGGGGTTTCTGGGGCCATAGCCCCAAAGCTACACCCATGGACTCCGAATCAACCAGGGGTATCAGCCTAAGCTGCTAAGGGCTAACACCGAGGAAGGGTCATCCATATCACACAGTCCTAGAGCCACAGCAATTTGTGCCACAAGGCCCAGCATCACTCACGTTTGCCAGAAGGGCAAGAAGGCAACCACTCCTATCTCTCTCAGCACAAAGAACAAGGCTCTGGCTATCACATTCACCAGGAAGACAGACTGAACTCTCTGTGGGCCAAAGGTTCACACCCATGGAAACCCTTATTCATCTCAAAGCTGCACTTCTATCCTTATGAAACACAGCAGACTAGACCACTGTGTCACTTAAAGACACAGCTGACACTGATAAACTGAAAACCTCAAAGAAGTATATAAATTCCTGGATTCATGTAACCTATTAAAGTTCATTCAAGAAAATATAGATAACCTAAACAGACCAACAACCAGCAATGGGATTGAAGCAGTAATCAAAAGTCTTCCACCAAGGAAAAGTCTGGGGCCTGATGACTTTACTACTGCATTCTACAGAACATTCAAAGAGGAAGTAATTCCAATACTCTTCAAACTATCCTAAAATATTGAACAGGATGGAATTCCGCCAAACTCTTTTTATGAGGCCAGCATTACTTTGATATCAAAATCAAAGACATGACATGATCAACAGCCAATTTCATACTGAGTGGGGAAAAGCTGAAAGCATTTCCCCCTCAGATCTGGAACAAGACAAGGACGTCCACTTTTGCCAGTTTTATTCAATGTAGTATTTGAAGTTTTAGTAAGAGCAATTATAGAGGAGAAAGAAATAAAAGAGGCATCAAAATTGGAAAAGAAGAAGTCAAATTATCCATGTTTTCAGATGACATGATGTTTTGTCAGGAGAAACCTAAATACTCCACCAAAAGGCTGTTAAAATTAATAAATCAATTGAGTAAACTTGCAGGTTATAAAATAAACATACAAAAAAGCAGATTTTCATATGTTAATGATACTCACAGAAAGAGAAATAAAGAATGAAATCCGATTCACAATAGCCACCAAAAAAATAAAATATTTAGGAATAAATTTAACCAAAGAAGTAAAAGATCTCTACAATGAAAATTATCAAGCATTGGTAAAAGAAATCATCAAAACAAAAAATGGAAAGATATTCCTTGTGCAAGGATCAGAAGAATCAATACCCTGAAAATATCTAAAATATCTAAAGCAATTTATAGTTTCAATGCAATGCCTATCAAAATACCAATCACTCTTTACAGAACTGGAAAAAGCAATTCTAAAATTCATATGGAATCACAAAACACCCAGAATACTCAAAGTTATCCTGAACAAGAAAAATCAATCTGGAGGCATCAAAATACCAGACTTCAATGCATACTGCAAAGCTATAGTAATTAAAATGGCATGGTACTGTTATGAAAACAATACATAAACAGAACAGAATAGAGAGCTCGGAAATTAGTCCATATACACAAAGCCAACTGATTTTTGACAAAAGTTCTCAGACCATATAGTGGAGTAAGAATAGTCTCCTCCACAAATGGTATTGGCAAAACTGGATTTATATAAGTAGAAGAATGAAATTGGATCCATACCTCTCACCATATACAAAAGTCAACTCAGGATGCATCAAAGACATAAATTTAAGACCTGAGACTATGACGTTGCTAGAAAAACACCATAGGGAAAACATTCCAAGACACTGGTTCGGGGGACAACTTCTTGGACAAGAACCCCAAAGCACAGGCAACCAAAACTAAATTAAATAAATGGAACAATATCCAACTCAGAAACTTTTGCAGAGTAAAGGAAGCAATCAATAGAGTGAAAACACATCCAATAGAAATGGGAAAAAAACATGCACAAACCACCTATCTGACAAACAATTACTATCCCAAATAGATCAACAACAATAAAAACTCAACAACAACAACAAGAACAAACCTAATCTAGTTGAGAAATGGGCAAAGGATTTCAACAGACAGTTTTCAAAAGAAGAAATGTAAATGGCCAACAAATATATGAAAACATGCTCAAGATCACTAGCCATCAGAGAAATGCAAATCAAAACCAAAATGAGATATCATCACACCCTTTTCAAAATGGCTAAAATCCAAAACATAGAGTAACAAATGCTGGTAGGATGTGGAGAAAGGGAAACATTTATACACTGTTGGTGGGAACATGAATGAATGCAGTCACTGTGGAAACGGTGTGGAGAGTTTTTAAAAAACTAGAAGTAGACTTGTCATGTGATCCAGCAATCCCACTATCGGATATATACCCATAAGACTTGACACAATGTATCAAAAAGATAACTGCACCACCATGTTCAGGGCAGCACTGCTCACAATAGCCAAAATTTGGAATCAACCGAAGTGTCCATCGTGAGATGAATGGGTAAAGAAAATGGAGATTTTATATATGCAGATATATATAATATATAAATACATATATAACATATATAAATACATATATAATATATACACCCTAGAATATTATTCATCATAAAAAAGAATGAAATTCTACCATTTGCAGCAAAGGACACAACTGGAGAACATCATGTTGGGTGTAATAAGGCAGACCCAGAAAGATAAATATCTCATGTTCTCTCTTATATGTGGGAGCAAAAATTTTAAAAACACAAAATTTTCAAAAACACAGAAAAAAGAAATGTCTGCGTATATGACTATTGCAACAAATATAGCTTTGTATACTTCTTTTTATATCTTTGTGAACTGAATGTTTAAGATCATTATACTGCTACAGTTTTAATGATCTGTGATTACTTTAAAATTTACTGTATCTGGGTAAAATTGTCCTATGAGGGAGAGAGAGGGAGGAAGGAAGAAAGGGAATATCATCACGTTCTTAGAATTACATCTACAAAGTATATTGAATGCTTAAAATTAAAATTTAAAAACAGAAAAGTAAAAGCTAATTAATTTAGTACAATGAAAACTATTTGAGTTATTTTGCTAACAGAAAATTAGAATGCATTAGTATTATGAATAATTCTGTTTTAAAAATCTATTCATGCACATGTTTATATATAAATATGTATTTATATATATAGCTATGAAGAAAAATCTGAAAAAAACTGACTCACAATGTCACAAATATTCTCTGGGTGGCAAAATCATGGACTTTTCTTCTTTTACTATTCTGCTTTGAAATTTTTATCATATACAAATGTGTGATTTCTCTAAGGACTGATTTTTAAATTCTGATGGTGCTGCTGAGAATTTATCCAATCTGCTTACCAAAGATGACTCAACCTTGATGAAAAAAGTTAAGTAAATATAAAAATACCATCATTTTTGGCCTGTGAGAACTTTGCTGCTTCTGAGGGGAAGCACTAAACCAATGTCTGAAATTTAAGTATTAAAATCATTACTCATCTTTTAAACTGTGACCAGCTATTTTATCAGAATAATTAGCAATTTTAAGATGTAAGTTTTTCTTTTATGGAAAACAGTTGACACAGCAGTGTGGCTTAATATTGCTATTCACAAGTCCACATGAAATACTCAGAAAACAAAAAGAGAAGTTACTCACCCGCGTTGTATAAGCAGCTTCTGGGTCATCTTCCAGAACACGTGAAAGTCCAAAATCAGAAACCTTACAGACCAAGTTGCTGTTGATTAAGATGTTCCGAGCGGCAAGATCTCGGTGAACGTAGCCCATGTCCGAGAGGTACTTCATGCCAGATGCTATCCCTCGCAGCATCCCCACCAGCTGGATAACTGTAAACTGGGCATCATGTTTCTGTGAACATTTCAAACATACAGTTAGAGCAGTTTTCTATGTCTGAAAGACATACCTTTTTTGTTTAAAACTTCCCATGCTGAATTTGGTAACAAGACTGAATACATTTTAGCTCTATGCACTCAATAACAAGATAGATAGATACAAGCTTAAAATAAAACAATATTGTGGCCATATCCTTTGTAGCAAGAAGTATCATAATTTTCTTTGACTTATGGATCAAAACTGGGATTGTTCTTTCTGTAGGAGAGAAACTGATCAGAAAAAAATTAAGTTCAAGAACAACAGAATGAATGAATCTCGTGGCTATTATATGTTGATAATTATTTGGATGAATTTTCAGTCTTCCTTCTTAGTCTTGATATTTTATTAATTGTTTCAAATAAATATGGTAACATTTTCATTATTATCCTAAGTAATTAGTTCATTGTGAACTAACAATATTTGCTTATATCCAACCCCGAGTTCTAGGTCACAAAACAAAAAGTAATAGCAGGAAAAAGCATATAGTACTGGATTGAAAAGTTTAAAATTTCCTTGGATTAAAATAGAAATACACGATTTAAAATGTAGAGATGATGCAGTTACGTAAAAATCCATGTCTGACTACATCTATACAAACAAGACTTTCAGAGGCATATAATAAGTATTATAGCATAATTGTTTAAATAACCTGGAAGATGTTTATTATTGGAATATGTTTATTGAAACAATTGCTTCTAAATTTTAATGGCTGGTGAATATTATAATAAAACATACAGTTTCTCATTCTGAGAAAATTTGGAAATTTGTTCTGTGATTACTCATTTTTCTCTTTTTTTTTTTTAGAAATATTTGTTTATTTGAAAAGCAGAGTTACAGAGAGAGAAAGAGAGAGAGAGAGAGAGCGCTTCCATCCGTTGGTTCATTCTCCAAATGGCCGCAACGGCTGGAGCTAAGCAGATTCAGTCAGAAGCCCAGAGCTTCTTCAAGTTCTCCCAAGTGGGTGCAAAGACTCAAGTACTTTAGCCATCTTCCACCACTCTCCAGGGGCAGTAGCAGGGAGCGGGATCAGAAATAGGGCAGCTGGTACTCGAAGTGATGCTCATATGGATGCCAGCAACATAGATGGTGGCTTAACTTGCTATGCCACAGCGCAAGCCCCTCTCTCTCTTCTATCATGAGTTTCAATGTACATAGAACTAAACACAACCATGAGGACAGGATCTGTGTCTTTTCTTGCCCCCTGTTCTGGCTAGTGATTGGAAGTGTCTTCAATTCTACCATTTTTTTTTTTTAATTTCTTCAAACCTAACATTGTAATACAACATGTTGACAAATATTAAATTACAAAACTTCTAAATTTAAAGGATGAAAAAATATATATGTATAAATTTGGTGATATATGCTTCCACATACACATGCACACATACATATCAACAAAATGTAATGTCTAAAATGAGAACACTTAAAAATGTAGCATTATAGTACAGGCTTATAAACTGAGTCAACAGCACTTGGTGAGAGGCACACAGTCCATTTAGTAGCACACTGAGTTTACTTTAAACAAAGAAAAGACATCTGTATTACATCATGGTTATTTATGTCTTGCTTTAGAATTTTTTACTTTCATTATTATTTCAACAGATATAAAACTTGATAGTACAAAGTAGATACTAAATAATGTACAAATTTATTTTTAAAATATAAAACATGGATCTGCTAATAAGCCCATGAGAGTTTCTCAGGCATGGAAAGCCAAGACACTATGGCAAACAAAATGACCTAAATGAAAGATCTCTGTGAGTGAGATCCCAGCAGAAAGAACGGGCCATCAAAGAAGGCAGTACCTTTCTCTGAAGGGAGGAGAGAACTTCCACTTTGAGTATGGCCTTGTCTAAATAAGGTTGGAGTTTGTGAACTCAAAAGGCTTCCATAGCCTTGGCAGCTCATGACAAGAGCCTCAGGTGATTATTGACATCATAAATAAGAGTGTCAATTGTTAAATCAACAACGGGAGTAACTGTGCATCTATTTATCATGTAGGATCTCTGTCCTTAAAGTGTTGTACTATGTGAATTAATGGCATAACTAGTACTCAAACAGTACTTCATACTTTGTTTGTCTGTGTGGGTGCAAACTGTTGAAATCTTTACTTAGTATAAACTAAGTTGATCTGTATATAAAGATAATTGAAAATGAATCTTGATGAAGAATGGGATGGGTGAGGGAGTGGGAGATGGGATGGTTGCAGGTTGGAGGGAGGTTATGGGGGTAAAAACCGCTATAATCCAAAAGTTGTAATTTCGAAATTTATATTTATTAAATAAAAGTTAAAAAATATAAAACACTAACATGTGCATTGCTGCAAGTCTAAAAAGTGCAATCTTACCAACTTCGTCTTGTCACTTAGCCTGAGAAAATTTCTGTTTTACTTTAGATTGCTTACATGCTTGGCAGAAAATTAGTAGGCACTTCAAACATTTTCTACAATTCATCCATACATAAGGGTACTTCAACAATTTCATGGAAGTATACATTATCTTTTAATTCAATTTTCCATGAAAGCATAATTCCTTATAAATACACACACATATACATATATAAAATATTTTACTTACCCGTAAGAAACTGTCCAAAGAACCATTCTCCATGTATTCTGTGACAATCATAACTGGCTTACCTACATATATGATAAACAAAAAATTAAATGTATAATTGTCAATACAATTTAACAAACAACCTGGAATGAATACATACAATGCATTTGGTATAATTAATGAATAAAATTATACAAAAACTTTCCTTTCCTCCAAATTTTACAAAGTTGTCATTTAAAACGTTTAAAAATTTAAGTTTCTATAGATAAATGAAACTCCAAAAAGAAAGGGAGAAGGTTTCATGTCAAAACAAAATGTCCTATATACTACATATTGAAATTGCATCTGGCATGTTTTTGGTGGACACAATATATGTACCTGTCGTTTTTCTAATTGTATCCTAGCTAATCTTTAAAATCACATATTCTGCCTTCAAGCCCAAGGTAGAATGAGGAATTTAATATTTACTTATTCTTTCTTTAAGCATTTACAGAGCTATATGCTTCTGCTGGTTAGTTGGAAGCAAGTTAAGCAAAATCACTATCATCATGAATACTACATGGTAATTGTACAAAATAACTAGAGATAATAATTACAATCCCTTTAGCTGTATCTAGTTAACACACTAAAAATTATAGAACCCATACTACTTTTCTGAGATTTAATAAGAGGTATTTTTAATATCTTGTGAAAGCACAGAGGAGGGGGAATAGATGGTTACCAAAGAAAAAGACTCAGCTGTTACCAAATCTGGAAGAACTAGTACCCTGAGAAAATTTATAATATCAGCAGATCATGTTTCTTTTATTTTTTTAAATTTGGGTGTATTTTATTTTTTTTTATTTTTATTTTTTAACTTATTATTTAAGGAATGCAATTTTAAAAAGTACATCTTCAGGAATATACTTATTCTTCCCACCATACCAGCCCTCCCACCCACACTCCCAGCTTTCCTCCTCTTCCCTCTCCCCTTGCCAGTCCGATTCTCCATTAAGATTCATTTTTTAAATTTTTTTAATTTTTTTTATTTTTGACAGGCAGAGTGGACAGTGAGAGAGAGACAGAGAAAGGTCTTCCTTTTGCCGTTGGTTCACCCTCCAATGGCCGCCGCGGCTGGCGCACCACGCTGATCCGAAGGCAGGAGCCAGGTGCTTCCTCCTGGTCTCCCATGCAGGTGCAGGGCCCAAGCACTTGGGCCATCCTCCACTGCACTCCCGGGCCATAGCAGAGACTGGCCTAGAAGAGGGGCAACCGGGACAGAATCCGGCGCCCCGACCAGGACTAGAACCCGGTGTGCCAGCGCTGCAGGCGGAGTAATAGCCTGTTGAGCCATGGCACCGGCCTAAGATTCATTTTCAATTAACTCTGTACACAGAAGACCAACTCTATACCAAGTAAAGATTTCAACAAGTTGCACACAAACACACACACACACAAACTGAGAACTAGTTTTATAGTTAACTCTCATAATACAACTCTTTAATGACAGAGGTCCTCCTTGGGGAGTTAGTGCACAGCGACACTTGTTAATTTAACAATTAACACTCATGTATGATGTCAGTGACTACCTGTGGCTTCTTAAAAATAAAAATACAACTAAAATTAAAATTGCTATTGGTAGCATTTTGTAATAACTACTTGAGAAATATATAGCCTTAAATGTCATTAAATCTTTTTATAAAGTATTTTATATAGTACCTATAATGTACAAATTTTGGTGTATTTATTATATATTATTAAATATTATTTCCATCTTTTCCATTTTGTTCAGGATGAAGTTGATACACAGAGGTTAACTAACTTTCCTAGTTTTTACCATAATATATGGATATTTTCACTTAGACCACATAACATTGCATTATAACAATTCTCAAGTGCTGCAATCTTCAGGATAATTTAATTCAAATAATCTACAGAATTGACATTCAGCAATTGACTAAATCATTACCTGCAGTTGAATATTTATTCTATTTCAAGCTTTAGATATTGACTCCGCTTAGCACCTTTGTGGCTAATGCTGTTTTGTATTTTCAGTGTTTTCTTTCAGGAAAAACAGTGTCTTTAGGTTGTAGATGTGGGCTTTATAATATGTCAACTATGTAAACTCATCTTAGAATTCCATTTTCATGAACTTTTTGAAGTACTCTCACAGTAACAAATTTTTTCCATAATTAGAACTACATAGCATTGCCTCGGGTACATGATATATGTTACATCACTTAATATTCACAACCTCCTTATCCTTTGCTATTATGCATTATTCTCATTTTATTGATTTCTCATCTGAAAGCATTGTGCATTAAGCAACTCATTGAGATCATACAATTAACTGGTGGTCTGAGCGGTAGTCTTGCTTTCTCTGTGTTTAAAGTCTTCACGTATTATCACACCATAATTCTCTTACTTTATTGTTGCTGTACCATTATGCTAGTTATAGACCCATCATGCTACAACAAGAAGAAAACTCACTCTTCCAACTTCAGAATTCTTAACTGAATATTGTTGAAAGATCTTGAGAAAATAATGGTCTTTAAAACAAAGATTCACCTATATCTAAATGTATACACACTTATTTTCCCTTATGTCAGCTTCCTGTTTTGTGAGGGTTAGTCTGCCATTCTAGTGCTAGAGACAACTTCTTTTTACTTTTTAGTTTCCTATGTGAAAACTCATATTTTATTAGTTGTGAATTATGAATTAATACCCTACATTTGCATTTAGTTACTTAGGTTACATTTGTAACTTGAATGTGTCCCAGAAAAGGATATCTTCTCTACTGAAATGAGAAAAAAACTACTAAAATTCTATAAAATTTCTCATATAATTTTCATCAGTGTTACAATCAATTGATGCCTTGATGTATTTTCCGTTAAGAATTGATTTCTTTATATTTTAGGTAACATTTGACGTATGTGAAGTTAATTTAAAAACATTAGGCAAGACTTTGAGTTTCCAGAACTTGTTTTTTTTTTTTTTTTTCAAAAATGCTAACTAATTCTGATTTGACAATATTCAGGAAGAAAAGAAAGATTCTTCATTTCCATGGAAATGATTATCTCTACTGAACTACAATGGGATGCTTAAAGAATGGCCCCAGAGATCTGTCCTGGAATGAAATGAATGGAATCCTGCATATGAATGTGTTCTATATATCACCATAAGTATGCGTTCACTTCTTAATACAATTTTGGAAAGAATTAATATGAGTATGTTACTGAAATTCAATGCACACTTAAACTGTAGTCACAGATATTTTACCTTCTATGGCCAACTCTCAATACTATTGGCCAGTGACCATACTATGTATTACTGAGCCCTTGCTTATCATCCTTCTCCTTCTGGCTCCCAGTCTTATGACCATTTCATTTCTCATTAGCATGTCTAGGAGAATGTTAGGAAAAGGAAATAAAAGTAGCTGAAAAATCAAGCCAGTCAGCCAATTAAGTATGGTTCCATGACCATTCAGAAATCAGAGTAGGCTGCCCTTAACTCTGTAATTGAGGTTTTGTAAACACATCAGTTAAAATGGGTGTGTGCTTTGTGTTAAGTTCAAAGATTCAGCAAATCAAATGTACAAAGAGTAAAAAAAAATCACAAATATTCTACCTTGGAATGTAGTACCTTTACTTGGAGCTTTCCTTGTGATTTTGATTATGATAAACAGGAAAAATAGGCAATAGTGATGAGAACTAGTCTAGTAGGCATTAAATGTAGTAGAAAATTATTTCTAAAATGACAGAGTGCACATTTTTCATTATATTTATACTCAAGTTTGCATGCTCTTGCATGTGAATATTGACTTACAAATAATATGATCAGCTTCCTCTAGACAGGACTTGTAACATTCGCTGCCTCAGAGACCCTGGAACACACCTGGGTGAACCCATAAAATCAAGGTAGTGTTCTACTCACCAAAAATAAGCAAAACAAAGTTTGCAGTGGAGTTTTGCTCTTGTTCTTTAATTGAATTATAGGTATAGATAAAATGGTGATCTATTGCAATTGCAAAATAAATGGAAGAATATCAGTCTGTTACAATCAGCTCATTTCCCCAGCTACCACTGTGACTAAGAGATATTACTGATCGTTGAACTTTTTTTTTATTTTTTTAATTTTTTTAATTTTTTTTTTTTGACAGGCAGAGTGGACAGTGAGAGAGAAAGACAGAGAGAAAGGTCTTCCTTTAGCCGTTGGTTCACCCTCCAATGGCCGCCGCGGCCAGCGCGCTGCGGCCGGCGCACCACGCTGATCCGATGGCAGGAGCCAGGAGCCAGGTGCTTTTCCTGGTCTCCCATGGGGTGCAGGGCCCAAGGACTTGGGCCATCCTCCACTGCACTCCCTGGCCACAGCAGAGAGCTGGCCTGGAAGAGGGGCAACTGGGACAGAATCCGGTGCCCCGACCGGGACTAGAACCCGGTGTGCCAGCGCCGCAAGGCGGAGGATTAGCCTAGTGAGCCGCGGCGCTGGCCTGATCGTTGAATTTCTGGCTAATGATAAGATACATGTGACTCAAAACGTCTAGAAATTCTAGAATCTGGCCATTTTGCCACAACTTTTCAGTCACATCTTCTATAGTCTTAATGTATTTTCTTTGAAATTTTCTAATAAATGTGAGTTAGACACTAAAATATTTTCATTTAAAGATAAAAATATTTACAAATGATTGAAGTATCAAATTGAAGTTTATTTCCAAGAGAAATGCTGTTAATACCTATTAACAACAGTATCTACATCAAAAATGCTACATCTTATTTTCAACATATGTAAACACACTCTAATACATAGATGTAATTTATGAAATCAAAATCATTAACCTTAGCAGTCAGAATTCTACTACTATATCAGAATCAGAATCAGAAAGAGGTCAAGATCTTCAGTACAATTCTGAATTGAAGTAATGACAGCAGACTGCTTGTTCCTATTTTAAAAAATTATTTTAATGTTTCAATGTTGCATATATTATTTGTAACTTGATTTTTTGGAGATATTTACATACCTTTTTCAGGCATACATATATTTACAAATGATGTGCTAATAAAAGTGTTTAAATTAATTTTTATGAAATTTCTGCATTTACTCAGAC